CGAAAAAACTGAAAAAAATATATGTTAAATGTGTGATATTATCTTTTAAATTGGTATAAAAATAAAAACTTTTATATAAAGAGAAAAACCCGCATTTTTCGTATTTTTACTATGTTTTATTAATGATTTTTTTTTGCGTTGCATTATTTTCGATTGCCACTATTAAAATTAAATATTTTTGTATATGGCACATTGTTTAGACGGGCTTCTAAAAATGTGTTTTTTTAAATAAATAATATTTAATTATTATTTACGCCATTTCTATTGCACACAGCCCATTTCTATAATATATAAATTATTTAATAATACGATATTGGAACCTTTTAGTATATCTTTTTGCATGTTTTTAAATCCGGATAATATATCCCTTTGCAAGTTGCCATCAAAATCACGTATTCCACCGAATGCTAGTATAGATTTTAAATGGCTAACGGCTGTTGTAAGGCTTGGTGTGGTACAACCAAGCTTATCGGCCGATCGGAACAATAAATCAATAAACTTTCCCATACACACACACACAACGCGCCTCCTTTATTACGTACTTACGTCAATATGATTTATTACTTTTTAAATGAAATCATCTACGCATAATTGATCGAATGCTTGGCATGACGATTAAAAATTGGATATATAAGCACAGTGTATTGCTCGGAAATTTTTTTGAAAAAAAAACATCATTTACAGTTTCCAATTTCTACAAAAAAAAAAGGATTCATCCTTATCTATCAAAAATTATCAAAGTCTCTAACAAATCAACTTTACCCAAAAAGTCGAACAAAACAAAATGGCATTAACATTCTCCGACATTTTCAAATTCGTGTTTGCGGTCTTACTGCCACCAATCGGTGTGCTCCTCGAACGCGGATGCGGTATGGATTTAGTGATAAATATTTTGCTCACGATACTTGGATATATTCCTGGTAAGTATGTTGTGCTAGGATTACATTTAATAATTGAATTGAATAATTAAATTATGAAAATTTTGTAGGTATTGTTCACGCATTTTATATCATCCTCAAGTATTAGACTGAGTCCTGTTTTGGGTCATCTTTCTTTGGTATCGAGCTTATAAATTCTGTAATAACAATATGGCTATAACAAATTATTCTTATAATTACTAATATTATGTATTAACGAGTTATCGCATTAATAAAATAAAAGA